GAAAAAGATGTAGTAATTCATATAGGACAAACAGATAAACATACTTTCATTTCTATAAATATAAATAGATATATAGGGCCTACTTTAACTAGTGTCCGCATACCCGCACCCGGAAACTTAGTCACAATTTTCTTTGTTACATTTGAACCCTTTAGGTTAATCAATATTAACAAAATTGAACAAGATGCAACAAATACAGTTAACCAAGAAATTGAACAAATAAAATTCACGTCATCTTTTTATTGTTTTTAGATATAGAGTAGTAACAGACTACCTACACGTCCTAACTCGCGACGAGGTACACATTTGTATTAAAACACACATCTAAGACATTTTCCATTTAGGTGGGTTTTGCAGTACAGTGGTTTCTTAAGTCGTGGACAAGTGATTGCGCTTATCTCTGTTGAGTAGCTATGTATTCTGTCCTATATTAGACACATTTGTAAATATCTGTCACAATATGGGCATAGAGATGATATAACGATAGCTTTATTATCTTTGCGGACGACGCTAAACTTTGGCATCGACACCACGGCCTACAAGCAGAGGCGTAGCGACCCTTCCCGGCGCCCGGGGCGAAGTTTCAATTTGGCGCCCCCCCCCCGCTTATATATATATATATATATATATATATATATATATATATATACATGTGTGTGTGTGTATAATTATGTGTGTGTGTTAGTGTGTTTATATATAAGCTTGTGTGTGGGTAAGAGTGTATTTGTGTGTGTAAGCGTGTGTGTAAGCGTGTATGCTACAGTCCGGACAAGGTTTAATAATTACATTGTATGATTTTCATTCCTTAAAACTTTACGACAATTTAATTCCCATTAAGATGCGTTTAATTTTTTTTTTGCGAAAGATTAGTAATGTCAGTAAAAAAAAATAAGCCTGATCTGTGTTACAGGGTAGTTTGTAGCTAACGCTAATATGTTTAGACCAGCCTTTTATGTTCTAGTTTTGGAACGATCTCTGTTGTGATATGGTACATAGTTGGATTCGAAGTTTGTTAGAGTAAGGACACACAAGTGACATACAAGAAGAAGTTATCAGAAATATTTATTGTTCACATTGGAATTCGACATGGGTATTTCGTTGATTGGTTGATGGTATGACAAAACAAGCTAGAGAAAACAAACTGGAATCCAGCGGATGTTAACAGCTCGTAGTCTTGCATTTCGCAGATTTGCCCTGCCTTCTCGCACACAGAGTTTCTTCCAGGCATCTCTTGGGGGGGGGGGCGAAGCCCCCCGAAAAATTTTTACCGCCCCCCCCCCCTCGAACGAAATGAAATTTATATAATTTATATATAGAAAATATATACGTTTAACAGTGTCCGCCCCCCCCCCGAAGAAAGTCTACCGCCCCCCCCTCGAAAATTTCAAGTGCCCCCCCCCCCCCCCCGGAGAAAAAAGTCTGGAATAAACACTGCTCGCACAACGTCAACAACCCAGAACTAATTGTATTGATTGAAGAAGCAGTAACAATCAATTTAATGATAGCCCATGACGTTCTGATTATAATCAGCAGCAATAAAACGCGTTTTAACACTCTAAGAAAATGTAGAATTCAAATGCATTGTCAAAAAAATTCAATCAGGATCTATAACTAAATGTGGTCTCTTTTACTGTATGGCTTGGAGCTAGATTACAGTCTTTTTACAGACAGTGGAGAATGAAATAAGAGCATGGAAAAAAAGCGGTGGTTAGTGGCTTAGGGATTCAAGAATCCGTGATATTTAGTTCTCTTTAATATAGTTCAGTGATCCAGGTAAGATGTAATGCAATCAATCAAAAGTATCTGATCTCTCACGTTGAAGTTGAGAGAATCGTAAGAATCTTACAAAGAACTAGTCGCGTCTTTTTTTTAAACAAAACTGGCTATTGAAATTGTACATTACGCGTTAATACACTTGGTTTCTTTACTAAGTGTTAAGAGAGTTATATACTCACCAATCCAGTACAAATACTTGCGATTTTTGTTAGCGAAAAAAGCGCCCCCCACACACACTCATCACAACCATCTTGGACAAAGTTTGTAGAGCGGTTTTTAACGTAACTAACTTTTTTTAAAAATGTTACACAATTATACAATGCACAGTACAATTCGTTTCTTTCTGAGAGCTAAAGGTTGTTTACTCAGAATCCTGTGTAATTTTGCTATTTTATTTAGCCTAAAAGCGCCCCCCCCCCCCCCCTGCACCATCTTGATAAAAGTCACTAACGTATTTTACAGTTCAACAATCGTACAATACGTTTTAATACAATTGGTTTCTTTTAATAGCGGTAACGTTTATCGACTCAACAATCTAGTGTAAATTCTTCCGTTTTAAGTCTCGAAAAAGCGCCCCCCCCCCCCCATCTAGGAAAAGCTTCAAAGCGGTTTTGCCGGTCACTGTTTCTTAAGAGTATATGTTTTACATTAAGAAATCAAGGTAGAAAACAGTTAAATCAGTAAGTAAAGGTGTGTAGCCATTACATTTCTTAACTTAGACAGTTTATAATTCAAAACTGCAGCATAAAATCAGCTTTAAAAAATTTTTCCCACCCCTTTTGGCGCCCCCATAGGGTCGGCGCCCGGGGCGGCCGCCCCCCCCCGCCCCCCCCCTAGCTACGCCTCTGCCTACAAGTTCAAATTCGGTCCTTCAGAAATGTTTGAAGTCTCTAGATTAAAACTACTTTTCTCTTTTATGTACCTACTGACCACATCACATGCATTTGTTCTGAAAGTCTAAAAACAGAGGCACAAATATATCGTCTAGACTTGTGAGGTCTACAGATTAGGTATTTTGGCAGTTATCTAAGCCCTTGCCTGTTCTGACTCAAAGCCTTATTCTTTCTCTATCGACGCCTTGCGTAACATGGGATTGGGTTTTTAAGGCGGCATAAAGCTTTATGTTGTTCCTTTTTGAGTACACTAGATTAAAAACTAACATTTTCAGATGCCTAAAGATGTTTAACCACTAATTAATCAGAATAATGAATCAAGATTTCAATTCTTGGTTTTGGGACACGTTAGTTGCCGGGGTTGAGCTAATGTCGATAGCATAAGGATTGTACCTTGATGCGGGCGTTTTATTTGTTGCCCATCGTAATAATTGAATGGTTGATGGGGCTTCTTCAAGGGTTTGATTTGCCGTAATGTTAATGATATCATGCATGTGCGGCTTTTCTAAGAAGAAAATGCGTTTAAACACTTTTTAGTTATGCTTTTTTTAAATAGGCCTATATTTTACGACATCATAATCGTAATGAACAATAAAATGAATTTAAACAACTTTAGAATACACCTGTTTCGGCTAACATGAATGTTATTCTTCAAACTAGTAATGTTAAACGTGTCTTTTTCGCATTTTCGACTTATCAGCAATACAGTAAATTCCGATAACGTCCATATGCATACAAGCAATGGCGTAGGCGAGGAGGGGTTTAATAGTGATTTAATAATGATACTTTCTTAACCCTCTACTGGACATCATGTTTGGTACCTTGCCCCCGGCAACTGGGTGGATTTGGATTACACCCAAGTTTTACTTCATAGTAAATGGCTTCGGTTTTAATTATTGGAGTTGGTAGCAACATTGACACAGTTGAAATCACATTAATTAGTATATAATTTACCATTACTAACAATAGGCCCTACTTAATTGTTTAATGTTGCTGGATATTAAGCCTGGTAGGTATTTATGTTTATTAATTTGTACAGAAACAAAAAAAGGATTCCCAAACAAAGTTTTATTTTTCAGAAATAAAGAAAATGATACAAATCAATAAAGAACAGTTTTCAAAAGAATTTGTATAAAAGTAATTATTATAAAATAAGAATATAGCATTGCATAGATAAAAATAAAATACTTGACACAAACAATATGAGAAATATTTTTTATCAGAGAAGAGAAAAATATATGATGTAGTTTGAAAATAATAATGTACAGAATGTAGCTTTTGCAGATTAAAATGAAAATTCTCATGCCTATATAATTTATTGAGTAAATGAAGCAAGACCCAAAACAATAGGCTAAATAATATGCATGAGACAGGCATTGAAAACTACAAATTGCATATAGTGAAGGTTACCCTATTTATTGGCTATATCCACAGTAAAGATTTATGGCTTTATTACCTGCTTGTAAAATTGTTAAGGAAAAAGTAAAGTATTGTTAACTTTTTATGGCAGACCAACTACGGGCTGTGTTCTGGGAACATGTCATATGTAAGGGGCATTGTTCTCGGCACATGTTGTCATTTTTTGTGTTCTCGGCACATGTTGCCATTTTGTGTGTTCTGGGAACATGTTGCCATTTTGTGTGTTCTGGGCACATAATGACATTTTGTGTGTCCTGGGAACATGTTGCCATTTTGTGTGTTCTGGGAACATGTTGACATTATGTGGCTGTGTTCTGGGAACATGTTGACATTATGTGGCTGTGTTCTGGGAACATGTTTGTTTAATTTTTAAATATTATAATAAAACATTTTTAGAAATTCTATATTAGGAATTGTGTATATATATAAATTTTTATATTTAATAAGACAATTGGATGAATTATAATAAACAGCAAAAATGATTCAAATAAGTTTAGAAGTATTTGGCTTGCTGTCCTAACAGTGAACTGTATTGCGAGCTTGTTTCCCTAGTGATAACCCATGTTTTTTGCGCGACCCTTCCAATCAAGTATCCAGCTTTTTCTTGGCCTGCATCAAAATTCTGGTCAGACTTGCTTGACTTGTATATCATAATATGATTTTGAATGTTTTTCTGTAAATGAAATAAAGGCAAAATATTTTGATACTTTCTTTTGTGGAACTTGCAAGAAAAATAAATTACAAATTTATATTACTATCTCTAATATTTCTTTACTATAACTAATTACTTTGAAAAGATAAAGCACTGAACATGATGAATAACAAGAAACAAACATTATCAGCAAAGATTATAGATTTAAAATTGTGTTCATTCATATTGAAGATTAATGAAGTAGACTATCAATATTTACCCTCTTGATGGCTGATACTTTGATTTGATGTCTTTACTTTAAGCTTACACATCAGTCTCTGTGTGGTAAAATATGAAATAATATGCTTCAATAAAACTGTTTCAGTATATTAATTATATTAGATAAGTACATAGTTTTGAGCTCTATAACAATATGTGTTTCAATTATCATTCAAATATAATACCCTCTATGTTGTACACTCACTGATTTATTAGAATTTAAAAAAAAGACAATAATTAATAAAATATTTTGGATTAAAATCCATTATATTTATTATAACATACAATGCTATCTCTTGCTATAATAATTACTTTAAAAAATGGGTTATGCCTATAGTACAGTTACCTGAGGATGAAACTAGGCACAGTGTATAGTCCACGGAGACTGATTAATATCCCTTGTAATTGAACATCAGTTGTAGTTATGAAATCTGGATGGCCAAACACACACTCATAGTCCTGAAAAGCAATTTACACATAGATTAGCAAGAATATCTCACAAATTATTAAATTAAAGCTAACCCCTATTTAGTGCAATCCATCAAAGTAGTAGCATTTTTCCTTAAGTTGTAGACACAATACAAAGTAATGTTTGGTCTGTGATTTACATACTTTTATAAAATAGCAATCAAATTATATATATATATATATATATATATATATATATATATATATATATATATATATATATATATATATATATATTCATTGTAAATTTTAGCTATGTCTTGCTATTAAATTTATTTACTCGACTGATCTAAACTCACTTTATTTAAACATAATATAGTGGATAAGTATAGTGATTTTATTATTCAGCAATAAATAGCAGCCCTAAAAAAATTTAAATAGTAACGTTTGCGAATGAACACATTAAATTCTATGTATTTCCATTTCTATGTCTTTCCCAACTTGATGCATATTACTAACCAAGCATTAAACTATAGTCCTAAACCTGACTCTAATTACCATTTATTGGACAACCTGAACCTTTGCGATACCATGTTATAATATATTATTTTAAAAAAGAGCTTACCACTAATTAGTAAAATCAATTGTTTTTAGTATTAACTGAGCCGCATACTATCTGCTGCTATTGTCATCACCAGAAATCCAGTATGTTGGCAAAGATTAGTCCCTGCAACCTCTTTCCTCTCGAGTGCGGAAAACACTGAAATCATTAATCATTATTTCATTATGCCTAATAGTTTAAAGGTACTATTAAAGTAGTACTAAATAGTACGAGTCTAAGTTACTATAGGTCTAATGATAATTATTATTGTGTATGCTTACATGCTTTAAGTTTTATGCACAATATTGGTATATAATATATAGTCTATAGTATATAGCCTAAGCTATAGAGTATATAGGCCTATGAGCCTAAATATAACAGCAGCTTGAATAATGCTCATTAGCATGCATTCACTATAAACTATAAAGATAATCAAATATTTCAATTTAATTAAATTATAACTAATAGGCCTAATAGTAAATAGGCTTTTTTCTTGTGGCAACAAATTTAAAGTATAGGGCAGTACAGTTATAGTATAGGCCTACTAGATTCTATATTTAAGTATGTGGGCTTTTCATTCCAATGCACCACAATAGATACCACACATGATCAAGCTGGACCTCTGATCTAAAGATTTAATAATTGGGCCTAACAAACAGTGAAACTACAATAAAAATCATGTAAATTACTAATTTAACCTTCTTACCTCCGCTTCTCTAGATTCCTATTCTATTTCCTTCAAACTTTCTTTTTATGCAGCCGTATGATTAGATTCTAGACTATATTCTAATAAACATGAAATAACTACTAACCAGAACACTAGATCTAAATTTCTATATTCTATGCAATATGTATTAAACCTATAGGCCTAATATTTATTTTAAATTCCTATGCGATGTGTCGTGAACTGTAGGTTTCATGTTATTTTTTTAATGGCGGAAATCAGTTTAAAATTTCGTTTCCTTCCTTTTGTTATTCTATTTATAGACTCAAACTGCTTAGAGACGGAGCAATTATCATTGAGTTAGTCGGCTAATCCACACAGGAAGTGCGGGTATATCTATTAGTTACTCAGTGATCTGATCATTGACAAAAACAGAGATAGCCATTCGCATGGGGTGGAGAGAGCTGTAGAGAGAGAGAGCTGTAGATCTAAGCTTCACGTGTATGTGCCGTGGGTTAAACATAACCAGTTGAAGAAGTAACCCTTGGCCGGTCTGAAACATAAAACAGTGCTCTCGTTATTATATATATATATATATATATATATATATATATATATATATATATATATATATATATATATATATATATATATATATATATATATATATATATATATATATATACTTCATTTGAACAAACTTGCGGTAGATTGAAATAAGACGCTAAAGCCATCTGTATACCTTCTCTTCACTCAAGGTGGATATAGTGAGTAAATGGGGTGGGATGAGACCAAAACCCATTACATCACAGACTAGAGCCACAGCGGACGTCTGGTAAACTCGAATAAACGAAGAAGAAATCTAAATCCTACTTTTTAAACTGACAGGCATTTTAATTATAGCCTCAAAACAAAAACAAGATTTTTAAAGTACTACGCCAGTTTGTTATTGCTGAGGTGAGAAGGATTTATTGTTTTAGTGAACGGTAGGGAGAGAGGGGTAGAGAGAGAGAGAGAGAGAGAGAGAGAGAGAGAGAGTACTTTTAAGGTTTGACATGTTTTCAACGCTTTGACGGAAGCCATAATGTCAGTTTACTAAAAGAAATTTGAGTTCGAAGTTTAAGACTATATACTTAATATAGTAACAATGAAACATAAACGTAATTAAATAAACTATTTATAGATATTTTTGTCATATATATTGAATTAAATGTTTTTGAATGTATGTATTAAATTGTGATTTAAAGTGTGTGTAAAAATATCTAGTAAAATCTGTATAACATTCTGCAAATACAAATGTCTAGTAAAATCTGTATAACAATCTGCAAATACAAATGTCTAGTAAAATCTGTATAACAATCTGCAAATACAAATGTCTAGTAAAATCTGTATAAAAATCTGCAAATACAAATGTCTAGTATCTGTATAACAATCTACAAATACAAATGTCTAGTACAATCTGTATAACAATCTGCGAATACAAATGTCTAGTAAAATCTGTGAAACAATCTGCAAATACAAATGTTTAGTTAAAATATATTAATAATTATATAAGATGTTTTGTAAAATGAACTTATCAACAGTAAAATTGTTGAAATATTCAAAAACCCCTTACAAAAATAAACAAATATCATCAACAGACAAGCATTAGATTAGAATACTGACCGAAATAGAAGAGTGTGTTGTCGAAAAAAAAACTTGGAAAAGATCAGCTGTCACCAAGTACAAGCATCTGGCATATTGTTGGTCAAGCTTTCAGCAATCGCCCAGAACCGAATACTATGGAGAGTTACGGTTGAGTGTGTAGGCCAAAACAAAACATGGAAAAGATCAGCTGTCTCCAAGTACAAGCAGCTGGAATATCGTGGGCCCAACTTTGAGGAATCGCCCAGAACCGAGTGCTATGGAGAGTTACGGTTGAGTCTCTATTCTCCACAATAGATCCACAGGAATAGTAATAGTGGTTAATTGTTTTGTTATATACCGCTACACCATAACAGTAAAGATTCCTCTTTCGATCGAACTGAGTTCATATTTTTTTCCCCATCGGCATATGAAGGGATCGTGTTGTCAGCAGTATGCCCAGCCGCCTCTACTTTCCCCAAAATAAGTTAGGTACTCATCAGAGCTGGGAAGACTAATGAACGTCCTACAGTCACAAGTCCGAACTGAGCTAGCACCCAGACGACAGTTATACACTAACGGTTGTTATGTTATACATTCTTTTAATCCAAATGTTCTTGAATTACCAACCATTAGTTTTTTTTGTCTTTCGGAAACTTTGATTGTCCCAGAAGTAACTTAAAAACAAATAACCTAAAAATTAAATTACGACCAGTTCAAAAGTAGAAACAAAGAAGTTATTTTCCGTGTTAAGAAAATGAGATATAAATTCAATTAATAACAAGTCCAAAGACAAAGGTCAACCAAAACTAACGGGAATTTCCCATGAGGCACCGCTGCGATCATTTATGAGCCCGTAAGAAAACCTTCAGTAGCTTATTGATTTTTTTTCCAGAGAGTGTTTGTTTCTAGGGGATTCGTCTAAACAAACCCTCCCCTCCCCCATCCACCGACAGGTCTTAAATCTAGCAATGATAATTTGATTAATCTTTGTAGATGTAAGTGTGATGGCTTCAGACGGTTCAGCAGTTTAAAGTACTGATAAGTCATCCGACTGTTCACAGTTCAAATTAATTATGTAAAGACTCATCAGTTCAATTTAGCTTGGTTATATATATATATATATATATATATATATATATATATATATATATATATATATATATATATATATATATATATATATATATATATATATATACATATATATATATGTATATGTGTGTGTGCGTGTGTGTGTGTGTGTTTGTGTGTATGCGTGCATGACATGTCATGGATACGAAATTTCTGGATGTGGGAAAGAACACATTTTAAATGTATAGTTTTGTATAAAAATGATATTTACCAAGCCGAAGCCGCGTCACTTTAATTTAAGAAGCAAACATTTTCTTTTCTGTAAAAAGTTACACCTAGCTTACTGCTATGCAAATCTATCTTCTCAAACTTTATTTAGAAACAAAAGCCTTCGTTTTGTTGGATCTCCCAACATCCAATCTTCCATTTCATCTTCGTTTTGTCTCCTTGTACTAACAAGAAATATATTTCTTTCTCGGGCATTTGTTATTTTTTTAATGATTTGTTTTGATATGTTTATAGGGAAATGATTCTAGATTAAAAAAAAAAGATATCAATTTTGCTTTTGATTTATCTTTCCGTTGAGCTGTATGTTTTGGTTTTTGTCTATCGCCAGTTTCATTCGGGCTGCAATAAAAGAATTGAGAGAGATAGAAATATTTACAAATAAATCACAGATATTTCACACATAGACCACCCATTATGAGCTCTCATATTTAGAGATGATGTAAGGGTGTCCGGATTTTAAAAAAAAAAAAAAAAAAAAAAAAAAAACAACAAGGCATATTTCTTCCACCCTCCAGAAATAACTCCCACCCCCACAGGATAACCCTCCTCCCGGAACACGTCCAGCACCCCCGGGAATTTAAAGTTCGCCCCACCCATGGAAGTTTCAAATGTTTCCACCCCTCCCCCTCCGCCTCCCCCCCCCCCCCCGAAAAAAAAGAATGCCGTAAAAGAACCCTGTCGCCATGTGGCTGACGATACAATCAATGTTCGCATTTTCTGCGTGGAAAATGTATATGTATAGGGCCACATACATTCAGGAATTCCATTACCCCAACAGCAACAACAAATGTTGATAGCAAGAGTATTTATGTGGGATTTCTTTTTTGAAATGTTCCTTTAATTTTAGAACTTAAAAAGTCTAGGAAATATCAAATGGAATATCTTTTTACTCTTTTATTTTAAAGCTTATTTCAGTTTTTATGTAACTTGGACGGATTAGTTTTTGCCCACTTGGGTTTATGCCCAGGTGTTAAAGTAAAGGGTTTTGCATCTAGGGGTTTATGCCCAGGAGGTTGACGTTCAGAGTGGTTATTTACAGGTATTTAATTCTACTTGGTTATCTACAATGGGTTTATTACCATGGATTTATGCCCATGGGGGTTTATGTTCATGGGTCAATGTCCATGGGTTTGTGCCCATGGGTTTATATACATGGGGTTTATGTACAGGGGTTGATGCCCAGGGGTTTACGTCCAGTGAATATATGACAAGGGTTCAGCGTGTTGGATGACACACAGAGACCTACAGACACAATTTGCGATACCGCTTTTAACGTATCGTCTTCTAAAAAAGAAAATTGACATGTTATTTAGCACAAGACCCACTTAGCTGGTTGACAATAAACCTAATCCCAATCTAATTTATTTTAAATTTAACTGAAACCAACCACACACATTTATTAGCACTGTGATACCAACACCACGTCTTACACATAAACACTAAAGGGTTGGTTGGATCGAGAGAAGCTTCAAGTTTTTAGAAGCAAACAAAGGAATAAATCAGGCAGAGTTGGATAAGGCACACACGGCTTGTATCACGTACCCACGTCACCAGGCTGGCAATAAAATGGAACCTTTCATGCAAGCGGAAAAGATGCCCGTCCAAAAACTCCAAGAGACCAGAACTTGAGGCTGAGATTATCAGAAGAAATCACATTTTGGAGAGTTGGTAAAAATGAGAAGCGTCAGGGGAATCTGGACACTTATGGTTGACTCTTTGCTAAATGGCATACAGGTACAATAAAAACCAAGACAGAATGCATACTTTGTCTACCACATAAAATAGATTTATTTTATAATCTAGGTTGGTGATACAAAATGACAATTCGATGAAAACACCTTTGTGAATAACATTGTTTACAACTATCTTCGAGGTAAGCACTGATTACACCCACCTTGGAGGTAAGCACTGAGTACACCCACCTTAAAGGTAAGTACTAATTACACCCACCTTAAAGGTAAGCACTAAGTACACCCACCTTAAAGGTAAGCACTGAGTACACCCACCTTAAAGGTAAGCAAAAATTACACCCACCTTAAAGGTAAGCACTGAGTAAACCCACCTTAAAGGTAAGCACTGAGTAAACCCACCTTAAAGGTAAGCACTAAGTACACCCACCTTAAAGGTAAGCACTAAGTACACCCACCTTAAAGGTAAGTACTAATTACACCAACCTTAAAGGTAAGCACTGAGTAAACCCACCTTAAAGGTAAGCAAAAATTACACCAACCTTAAAGGTAAGCACTGAGTACACACCTTAAAGATAAGCACTGACTACGCCCACCCTCCCGGAAACGAACTGAAAACCTAAAATAAAACAAATATAATTT